TAAAACCCTCCCTCTCCTAGTGGCAGCCAAGAAAAACGAAACAAAACCCTCTACGCCACCCAGCCAGCCAGCCACATCTTAGGCTGTGTGACATCTAGAGAGCCAGCCAGACGCATATGTTCCAATGTAAGACAATAAAATTGTATAAAAATTTCTTTTTCTCTGCTAGGAATGTTTAAAGCCAACAATCATTAAAATACTATAGCTACTCACTCTTATAGTTGCTCTTTTTACCCCTCATCCGATATTATTTTTTCCTCTTTTTTTTTTTTTTTTCCCTCATCAGTTTTTATTTTTATTTTTTCTTTCCAACGTTTTCTTCTCATATATTCTAGCTTATTGCTTTTTTTTTTGTCATCATTATATAGAAGAGGATGCTTCTGTTTGTGCTATTAATAAGTTTTCCTTTATTTATATAGTTACTCTTTGTGCATGCATGATTACAACTTTCAACTGGATTTTTTCATCTTTGGTTTCGATTTACTAATCCAACAACAATCTTTGGTTTCGATTCTCTCATCTATCTTTGGTTCTCACGTGTATTTTTTATGTCAAATTCGCTTGTATAGTTGAGTTTATTAGGTAAGTTCCGCCCAACCAGCTTTCAAATTCTGGATATGCCACTACTCTCCTAAAAAAACCACTCTCTGTTTTGGAGTCGCATCATTGAAAGAGAATTTCAAATTTAATAGCTGATCTCTCTCTCTCTCTCTCTCTCTCTCTCTCTCTCTCTCTCTCACAGCTAAAACTCTCCCTCTCCCTCACAATGAAAACCACTCTCGCTTTTGGAGTTACAGTTATATCCAATTTAATAGTTGTTCAATCATAATATAGTTTATCAATATTCTCACGTTGTCCTCTTTGGTTTTGCAATTAGAAAAAAAGGGATATGCGGTGTTACTAAATAATATCCTGTCAACACTTTGAAATAAAGTTAACCATTGTTGGACTCCTGCTAAACAAGAAAATAAGGATCCACTGAAAGCAATTCTGTAGGGGGTTCTAACTCCATACACAAATAATGATAATTGAATGATAACAATTCCGTTGATAAAAGCAAAGACTATTACACTTATTTTGACAGCTCATTCTTTGCCGATGTCGGCCACGGCCAGACTGACGCACGCAAGCAGCAGCGCAAGCACATACAAGCCATTTCACTACTTCTGTAGTCATTCTGCAACCTTAAATCATACTAACACCTAGAGACTGGCCTTCATAATAGCTTACATCATCAAATAATAAAATACTCAAGCGTTTGTTCATTTTTGCAAGGAAACTAACACAAATTCTAGACGCCACCAGCACCAACAGACAGCATAGGGCGGACTTTCTTCTTCTTTTTGTTTCTTATTGGTCTAACAATTTGTGATCACCCACCAGGTTCATTTTAATGTATTATTAATAGAAGACATGTACAATCACTTACTAATATTATAAAAGAATAATCTGAGACTATTATGCATGTCTTACACTCTGCATATCTAAGCTCCTAATGACAGTTTGGTTAGTAGCATTCTTTGGTTCTTCTACCTATAAATATGTTAACCCAAAACATTTATCATCTATTAACTACAATAAAGATAAATAGTACTCACATACTTGGTTTTTTAAAAAAAACTTAGCGTACAGAGAGTGTTAAGTATGAAAAAGCAAAAAAGAGTGTAAGTGGAGAAAATGGGAGTGGGAAAATCAGCTCCCTTATTAAATTAAAGAAATTGGTCATTTGGTCATTTTTGGGTTTTTTTCCTCCAAATATCATGTATGAAGGTTTTATTAATTAATGCCTTAATTAAACCCAATCAGCTTATACCGTCGATCCTTTACCCAACAGCCAACATTTTTTCTGACTGTTTTCAATGCTAAAAATACAGATCCAAAGGTCCAAAATCAAATCTAATTGTAAAAATATTTAAATAATTATTCTAAATCATATTCAACCCAAAAACTCATCCGACTCAGAAATTATTGCAATTAAGAGAAATAGAATTATTGCCATATATTGTAAAAAGGCTTCTAGCTCAATTGTTAATATATGTTATGTATCCTAAGGTTTTTTATTTTTATTTTTTAATAATGGGGTTTCTCACTTAAATTTCTTTTGATTAAAAAGGAAGAAAAAATTATTACAAAGAGACTTTTATAGGACGATCATACCACGACATCATCCTGATGTGATATGACTATATACTTAAAGAGCACTTTTATATTGCAAAAAAAGCTCCTAACTCAAGTGATTAATAGTTGTTACTCATGAACTCAAAGTGCTCCTTTCCTTTATATGTTCGGAAGCCTCGCTCGTAGGTTAGCTAAGTTTGCTTTCTCTATTTTGGGTTGTATTGATTGAGGATCTTGATTTTATCTGACAGGGCCTCATGAAGATTATATATAGCTGTGGGATCAAGCTTCTTGCCGCCCTTGATGTTATCAGTTTAATTCTTATGATCCTATGACTTTTATTATTTCCTGTAAATATCACATTAATAAAAAAAGTAGATTCCTTCTCACCTATCATGAGTAAGAAACATTATCCTTTCTGTACGTATAAATATATAACTTGCATTGCACGTATGTTTATATCCGTGTATTAGGTTAAGAAAAGCTAATGTGCAACCTGGAATTCTATTGATCCAGCATGTTGAGGCCACCAACCTAAATCCAACTTTTTCTTTCAATAATTACTACCTTTTTTTAATCTGATTAATATAATAATGTTTTGTGGACTTATATTTTCCTTAATTAATTGCTCTTAACCACTCCAAACGATTGCTGCTTCGATGGATAATTAATTTTTTTTTTTTACCCTCGAGGCACAAAAATATGGATGTTCTAGAAATGATAAGTGGGCAAGTTTAAGCGGTTTTACTTTTGAAGTTTTCCCCGGTCAACTAGCAAGCTAGCTAGCTAGGAAAGTTCTTTTATCACATTGTTCAAGTAAAAAAGATTATCTGTAAATTAAGGAACGAGTCTTAATTTCACACTACATATAATAATGGGAAGGAATTGCTCAACTTGATGAGGAAAGTAGAGTGAAATAAAAGTACGTTTGTGGAAGGGTTTCGTTGCCACAACTCCAGAATCAGAAGGCTTAAAAGGGTTTCGTTACTTGAAGCGTTTATAACAATCATCTAAAAACAGGAAAGTAATCTTTAAACACAATAATCGGTAAAACTAGATTTTAACCAAAAAGATAAAATTAACCAAGTATAAAATGAAACACAAAATCCCCTTGAAACCCTCTACGAAGCTTGTTTCTCCTCCTCAGCAGCTTCAAAGGCCTCACCAGAAACAAGCTCAGGGACCTCGTCATCATCATCCTCTTGTGGAGTGGTTCCACCAGCAGCACCAGCACCAGCACCAGGCGCTTGCTTCTGGAACTACTCTGCCAGTTTCATCAAATTGTCTAAGTTATCTGGCCCTGAAAATAATTAAAGGTGCCATGAAGAATTCTCCAAGTCCTCTTTTGAGGACAAAAGCAAGAACAAAATATAAGGATCACATGCACACTTACCCAAATGGCTGATAATATACTGGAAAGAATATCTTTCAACTGTACAACAGAGAAGATCCTATGTCAAGTTCTAAACCAATATGACAAAAATCTAAAGAAGGCCAAATAAAAGGCTCAATGCGCAGCAGAAAATCCAGGCACAAACACAACTAAACATGTATATATGTGCGTTCTTTTACCAGATAATACAACATTGAAAACAAATTTCCAATTCAAGGCACATATTGACATCCAAACCTCGGAATAAAATCATTACGTAAATACACTAAAGAAGAACACAACACCAATATTCTATCCATTTTTCTAAATTACTACCAATATTTAAAATATGGAAGACACCAAAATGGTTAAGAAGTTAAACCATCACTTCAAATTTAAAAGATAGAGAACAAATTGTGGCATACTCTTTGTTTGAACTGAAAAAGCTCTATTAAAGGCATATGTGGTTGTTTATGTAATGTAGTGCTTTATGCAGTAGTAATGAAAAAATCTTTTTGATAAATTTTTTTTTGCATTTAGCAACCAAACGGCTTTAAATTGATTTAAGCGCTTAACTCTTAGCTCTACGTCGATGCTCCTGCAATCACAAGCAAGTCACTCTCTCGACAAAACAGAAAGCCAAGTTCAGATAAGACAACTATGTCATTGAGGGTCACCTGTGAAACGGTGTTAAATTAGGCCTGCATGCCGCTAGTATGGTCACCAAAAATGTACAAGGAAAATCATCAACTATTAGAAAAGGTGAATCAAAATAATAATTTACAGGATCAGAGTTCTGGCATGTTGGCTTCACCTCTGGGGTTTATGGACTGGATGACAACATCATCCATAAATATGTTAACTTGATTGAAGGAATAGTGTTCATGCCCTATTCTCTTAATGGTGCTCTGAAGCCTTTTGTCATCTGTGGTAGCTGTCTTGTGAACAGCCTTCTCCTTTCTGAATCTGGGAACAGAAATTAATAAACAAAATCACGTACAAACAGGATGATCACACAACAAACATGTGCTAATTACAAACAATTGCAGGAATGTGCAAGACTTAGGATTGAAAACTTGTCATAAAATGACTTCAAGGGCAGTCTAAGTCCAAATGACCATTCCCCGATAATGCTGTGTACATCAGAAATAGCATTTTCTCCAAAGTAGAGAGCACTAGATGGCATATTTGAGGTCAACTCCAACAATTCTCAGTTTTAACTACTTGAATTACTTTCTTATTTTTTGCCTACTCAATTGCTTAAAAATCCTATCTAAAGAGAAGAAGAACACACCATTAGATAATATTGAATACAGAAGAGCAGAAGAACCCATCACACTCTCCACCAGAGTAAGCTCTCTACTGGAAAAACAATTACACTAAGTCTACTGGAGACAACCTTTCTGTTATGGGCTCTTTAAGCTAGGGAATCATCTGGTTTAACGAGGAACTTTAGACTAGCTAATGCACCAAATGCTGCATACAATAAATGATTATTGTACTTAAGTTCGCAGTTCGCCACATAAAGATTGCATGTTATACAAATTAATAAAAGATAAAACTTTCTGTTCCCCCTGGGAAGAGCAGTTAACTCTAAAAGTTCAGGTATTTCTCATCTTTAAAAAAATTACAAGAATAACATAAAATAAACACGGTAAAACAACAAAAGACAACAATCCACTCAACATGCCATCAGGATAACTGCTTCACATAAAGAACTCAAATTGCAAATCAATAATTTGATGAAGTAAACTACTTGATCAGGTGCTCAATATAATGCATAACAGACATGAAACTGGCGCACATAAAATTATCAATTGCACACATATTTAACTCAAAACCATTAAGGCTAAAACTTGATACGTCAGCTTCTGTGAATCAACTTGGTAGAGAAAAGGAGTTTCATTCTGAAATTTCACCCACCTCCTCATGCTACCCTTTCCACCAGTGCGAACCACACCGGCCATCTTCATAAGTTTTTCCCGATTCATCTGCATAAAAAGTGGGCATTGTAAGATGAAGGGACGAGTTTCAATTGAAATATATATTAAACAATTCAAGAGCCAAAACATTTCATCTCAAGTTACATTATTGTTATTCTGTGTATTAAGCAATAAAACCTCCAACACGACCCAAAAATTTGTTTTACGTCTCAAATTTTTTTTTTTCAAAACAAATCTTACAATATCTAAAATAAAGAACAAATCAAGTCTATTTTCTGCTATCTTACTTCTTCAATCTCATACTATGCTTGATTTATGTATTTGGAAATGGAAAAGGTTTTTTTCAACAAGTATATAACCAAAATGTAATAAGAGAACAGCTCCCCTCCTACCTCATTGAATGATTGAACCAAGCACAAAATAATTTAGACTTTCTTGAATATTTTGCTGATTGGTTCATCGTCGTCATCAGAGCTATAACTTCCTGGTTCATTGTCGTCATCAGAGCTACCAATTCCAGGTTCATGGTTGTCATCAGAGCTATCACTTCCTGGTTCAATTTCGTCATCAGAGCTACCACTTCCACTACTACCAATTGGGACAGCCTTGTCAACGTACACCAAACGGCAGAATTTTTTCAAATCTCTCTCATACACCAAACGGGCCCCACATTCCTTTATATTTGAGCTTGTTTTGAGTGTGTTGGAAGATCTGTATGCACAATAATGTGCTTCGAATGAAAACCAATGACTGCTTGAGGCATCCATGAAGCTGGGATGATCGCAAGGCAAACAAAAACCCAAAGGTGTTGTGACCTAAGATCCCCAAATTCAAAAGTCTCAGATGGACCCCGCAATCATTGAATTTTGAAAACACATCCAACAAGGGCGGCTGGATTTTGCAAATATTCAGCATCTTCAAAAACAACAAATAAAGCAATCCCAGCCCAGTCGCTGCTACATGATGATTGTGGAGGTAGTTGCAGAAGCAACTCCACAGTTATTGAATCTCCCACATTTCGATTATCAAACCAATCTGGAATTTCACTGCCAGGCCATACAAAAAGGTACGGAGAGGAATCTGTATTGAATAGCAAAAGAATTATCATTTTATTTATCATTGCAAATATTCTATTAATTCAAACAAAAACGAGAGAGTGTGTGTACCATTATCATTGCAAATATTCTATTAATCCAGCCTTCTTCAACCAATCTGAAGCAATTAAGACAAGTGAACTCAAAATGGTACACTTTGGCTCCTTCGCTCAGCTTAGATGGATCGGACAACCTTTTTAAGGTAGTACAATCGTCTGCATATACAAATAATGTCGTTGACGGAAGATCTGGCAATTGCTCAAGCCTTTGGCACCGCCTCAAGTCCAGGGACTTAAGCTTAGAAAGGAATGTAATGCTCACGGGAAGGCTAATGAAATTGTTTCCATGAAATGTTAAATATTCTAAAGAAGAGAAGTGGCGATGACACCTTCACCAATATTACAATCTCTTAGGTTTAAACTTGTCAAAGAGCATAAATGATTTAGAGAAGACAACACCAAACCCCAGGGGTCAGGATGACTCTTTCTAATTCCAGATAAACGGTCAAGGCCCCACCCAATGCCAATGCCATCCCTTGAAGTTGATGATCTAGCAAAGCTTAGACGTTTGAGGTTTTTCATAACAAGCGGCAGCTCTCTCATACCACTTCCGTCTAAATAAAGCTCCTCTAAAGACTCCATGTCCCCTGGCAGTTTGTCAAGTTTTGAGCAACTTAGCCCCCAGAGGATTTTATGAGACTTCAAATTGCATATCACACTCGGTAGACCCAAGAGACTTTTGCAACAATTTATATGAAATTCACCAAGGCCAAGTAGATGTTCAATTGATGAAGGTATTTGATCAATTAGACACAAGCCTAGTTTAACAGAAATAACAGAAATTAAACAGAGCCTAATCAATTCAATTCAATTCCCAAATCAAAACAGAGCCTAATTTAACAGAAAGAATCATCAACCTTAACCCCCAATTCGATAAGCCTAATTTAACAGAAAAAAACCCTAAATTGTATTTAGAAGAATAAACCCTAAATTCAAAGGAAGAGGATGCTTACCGTTAACTGATACGAGAGAGAGGGAGAGAGAGAGAGAGAGAGAGAGAAACCCAGCGGAGAGAGAGCTCAGTTCCATTTCTATGGAGAAAATGAACGAGAGAGATAGAGAGAGAGAGAGAGAGAGCGCGCTAAGTTCGGTTCGGGGGAGTTGGGCGAAAGTGCGAAAAGAGTAAGAGGGTGGGGATAAGAAGGTATTTATATGCGTTAGTTTTATAAGGTTTAAAAAACGTTGTTATTTTACCAATGTCGATATAAAATTATGAGAGGAGTTGCATTGTTGAAAAAGAGTAAGTAAATATTTCTAACACGTTGAAATTAAAAAGAGAACAGCTCTCCTCCTACCTCATTGAATGACTGAACCAAGCACAAAATAATTTAGACTTTGTTGAATCTTTTGCTGATTGGTTCATCGTCGTCATCAGAGCTATAACTTCCTGGTTCATTTTCATAGCTACCAATTCCTTGTTCATTGTCGTCATTAGAGCAACAAATTCCTGGTTCATCGCGGTCATCAGAGCTACCACTTCCACTACTACCAATTGGGCCTGCCTCCTCGTCACCGGATGCATGTAGTGCTGCTGGCTTCGGGATTCTCAGAATTCGGCTGAATTCTTCCAAATCTCTCTGGTACACCAAACGGGCCCCATATTTCTTTACAATCGAGCTTATTTTGAATCTTTCGTTCACAGGTCTGATTGAATAACTCCCTGTGATTGAAAACCGATGACTTGAGGCATCCTTGAGCCAGCGATCATTGCGAGGCAAATAGAAAACCCAAAGGTGTTGTGACTCAACACACCCGACTTCAATCTTCTTATGCCATCCCTGCGAAGCTACATGTAAAAGAGCATAGGCTGGATTTTCCAAATATTTATTAGAATCTTCAAAAACAACACATAAAGCAATCCCAACCCAGTCACTACATGTTTGTGGAGGTAGAGGCGGCTCCACAATTATTGAATGTCCCACACTTCGATTATCGAACCAATCTGGAATTTCACTTCCAGGCCATACAATACCGTCATCAGGATACCTTTCCTGTACCAAAAGAATTACCATTATATTTACTATTATAGAAAAAGAAAACCATGATATATATATATATATATATATATATATATATACACAAAGAGAGAGAGAGAGAGAGAGAGAGAGAGAGAGAGAGTACCACTGTGGCGTTTTTCAATATCATTGCAAATATTCTATTAATCCAGCCTTCTTCTTCAACCAATCTGAAGCAATTAAGACAACTAAACATAAAATCATACACATTGGCTCCTTCGCTCAACTTTGATGGATCTGACAGCCTTTTTAAGGAAGTACAGTCGTCTACACGTACAAATAATGAGGTTCTCTTTGGCGGAAGATCAGGCAATTGCTCAAGCCTTTTGCACCTCTCCAATTGAAGAGACAGAAGCTCAGAAAGGAATCTAATGCTTGAGGGAAGGCTAACGAAATTGTTTCCACTAAGATCCAACTCTTTTAAAGAAGACAAGCAGCCGATATCATCTGGAATGGCTCCTTCACCAATATTACAATCACTCAGATCTAATTTCGTCAAAGACCCTAAACGATTTAGAGAAGACAACACCAAACCCCAAGGGTCAGGCTCACCACTCTTTCTAATTCCAAATAAACAGTCAAGGCCACACCAAATGCCATCCCTTGAAGTAACTAATCCACTAAGGGTTAGACTTTTGAGATTTTTCATAGCAACAAGCGGCTCTCTCATAGCACTTCCACTTAAATTAAGCTCCTCTAAAAACTCCATATCCCCTGGCAGTTTATCAAGTTTTGAGCATCTTTTCACACAGAGGGTTTTAAGAGACTTCAAATTGCATATCGCACTCGGTAGACCCAAGAGACTTTTGCAATCACTTATATTTAGATAATCAAGGCCAACTAGATGTTCAATTGATGAAGGTATTTGCTCGATAGCAGTCTCACAGGGATTAATCATTTTCAAGTTCTGCATATGTTCCCCAAATTCGGGAATCTTTTTCACTTTTGAGCAGCCCCAAAGAGAGAAATGTTCAAGAGAATCCATTTCCAAAGCACTTGGGAGACTCTTAATACTCTTACATTCATCAAGTATTAAAACCTTCAGCTTTTTGTGAACTGCAATCGACGAGTGAACCTCGCTTAATTTCTTACAACCTTCCAGATTCAATTCCTCAAGATTTGGAATGCGTGTGAAATCTGGGATATTGGTCAATTTATCAGAGTAACTAAGATCCATATATTTCAAATTCGGAAAATCCTGCCAGTACATACAAGTTGTAGAATTATAAGTTTAAAAAAACCTTGCAAGTTAAAACAAGGTACAATACAATCATACTCAATATAATTTAAAAAATTACAAAATGCCGTATTTCAAGAATCTTACCTTTGCTCCATCCCAAAGCCGGACAAGTTTGCTATTCCACATTTCTAGTTTAGAAAGCAAATGTGGTTTGAAACATGATGGGAGCGATTTGGAAGGATACGAACTCCAATGGATAATTCTTAAGGAATTTGGAAGAAATTTAGGGCCTGAAGAAAACATCACATTATAAAAGTCAAGGAGCCTTAACCTATGCATCTCATTGAAGGCTTTAATACAATTCCAGTCAACCAGTTCTGATTGGGGCAGACGTAAGACTATACCTTCAATTGCTCCCGTTCCCTAATATATATAATTAAGAAAAAGGAAAAAGTTAATTCATCTCATCTCATTAAAGTCTAATATCTCTAAATAACTTCTCATTTGAAAAACGGCATATATTTCGGCCCATGTATATATAGCATCTCTAAATAACTTCTCACCGTATTGTTCGTGAATACATGAGAAATGTCGTTGTGATACCACAAAAGACTGCGTTCACCAGGCTCGAGAGACTCTTCACGAACAATTTTCCATGCCATTTCTTGTATCAAATCATGCATCTCAACAATGTTGCTACGAAAGTGGCTTTTCTCAATAGTTAAGAGAGATTTCTCAATAAGAATATCTATCTCAATATGACTGGAAATGTCAAGGATACAGTCTAGTATTTCAATTACTTGCTCTTTATCCCTCCCTCTATGGAGACACGCAACATGCAGAAAAATTTTCTTCTCCATCTCTTTTAATCCATAATAACTTACTTTGAGTGAATTAAAAATATTTGGATCAGGAATTTTGTTTAGATTATGCAACACACTCTTCCACGCATTTTGATCTCTCCCATACAAAGCACGCCCCAAAGTTTTAAGAGCTAATGGAAGGCCTTTAGCATAATCTAGGAATTGCCGAGACAGTTCCTGAAAACCTTCCTCAGGCTTATCTTTCTTAAAGGCATGTCGACAAAAGAGCTCAAGAGCTTTATCATCCTTTAATACAACGACCTTATACAGTTTCTCTATACCATGCTCAACTAGTAGACGCTCATCCCTAGTTGTGATGATAATTCTACTCCCCACACCGAACCATTTTTTATTTCCAACCAGTTTTTCTAGTTGATTTAGTTGACCCACATCATCAAGCACGAGAAGAACCTTTTTATTCCATAAACGGTTCTGAATGAAAAAGGTTCCGGCTCCTTCATCCCAAACATAGGCAACATTTTCTTTCAAGATTGGGAAAAGAATCTGTCTCTGTAGATTAACTAGACCACCTTGTTTTCCAGAAACCTCTCTCACATTAGATAGAAACCAGCTAAGTTCAAAATGATGGGAAATTCTCTCGAAAACTAGCTTAGCAAGGGTTGTTTTGCCTACCCCGCCCATCCCCCATATCCCTATAAAGCGAACTTCATTATCTTTGGGAGCTAATTGCAAATGTAGTTGCTCAAGTGCAGAATCAATTCCGACTAACTTGTCAAGAGAACCTGACAACATGAACGTTGGATGCACTTTCCTAAACACACATTTGACAATGTGTTTAATAAGCTCTGCTTCCGACCTACAAGGAATAAAATTAAAATAACCATTAATTCATAAATATAACATCCAAGGTTATTGATTATGGCAAGAACTGAAACGTAACATCCAAGTAGAGTTCTAGTAAGAAACAAAGAAGTTGTTGATCCATGCATGCTTACTGATAATTCTTTGAATCCAACCCAGAGAGATTGGCAACTTCTTTTAAAGCATCTCTCCACCGCTTCACCTTGTCTACATCTTCACTGAACTTTTCTTCATGTTTAGTGAAGGCTTCCGCAAAACTACCCCATTGGTTTCGTACATCAGAAGGATCCACGTGATAAAAGATTGGAAGAATTCTCATGGTGTCTTGCATGCATTCAAGAATCTTGGAAAGTTCATTCAAGCACCAGGTGGAAGAAGCGTAGTTTGGGGAGAGAACAATGATGGCAAGATGTGATTGTTCGATTGCGGTCAACAACTCCGGAGAAATACTTGCTCCTTTTTCAAGGTCTCGGTCGTCCTTGAAAGTTTTAATTGCTTGCCAGTACTGCAGTTCATGGTATAAATGGGATAGAAAACCGCTGCGAGTGTCTTCACCCCTGAAACTCAAAAAGACATCATGCTTCCAATGGGGAGGAGCCCATTCAGCTGAAGTGCGAGATGTAGAGGCTCTTTGGGTGCTCAAGGCCATGGGAAAAAGACAGTTCCTGGAAATCTGGTTCGGCAAACACTCAGAAAATACATAAAATGAAAATGGTAGCGTTAATTTTTCTTTTGGGTAATTGAAAACGTATTATAAGCAAAAGAGAAGAAGGGAAGAGAGCAAATACCCAGCAAAACAAACTACAGATTAATGAAATGGAAGCGCAGCAACTCGGACAACAGCTCAGCGGAACAGCACCACAATCACGAGCCAGAGAATTGGCAGCAAAACAAACCAATCCAACCAAAAACAAGATGCGAAGTTAACTGTCACCAGAAAATGAAAAAAAGAAAATTACAATATGCACCCGAGAGTTGAAGGAATAG